AGTGTTCGACTTTGCCATATCTCTCTATTATATTTTTATTAAGGTTAGATTAAACTTATCAAAAAAGTGTCAAAACGTCCGTTATCGTACGATCTTTCTCCGTTGACCGGAAGGAAAAAATTTCGGATGAAAAGTAGCGCGAAAACGCTATGGCCAATCACAGCGCCGTCGGACCATCCTATCAAAGGATAACGGACGCATGAAAATTAAGCTTAAGTCTATTCTTCTAGTGTCCATGCTAGAAAAGACATAAATGACATTTTATGTAATAAGAGGATCATATAGCAACAATTGTATTTCTGTTCATTATAAGAAAACGATAAAGTGCAAAATTGTAATTTATATTTAAAAATTTATATTTATACTAGTAGACCCAGCCACGCGTTGCTGTGGCTGAATACCCAATTTTTTGCATCCGCGGTATATACCCAAAGGGTGAACAAATGGTATATTGAATTCGGGTAAATACACGATCATACTCACGTTTTTAACGTAAGGTATTGCAACAATTTTAGAAACAATTTGTTATTAAATTTTTTTAATTACTAATATCGCTATTAAAAAATAGGGGTTAATGGTAGAAGGGTGAAAATTTAGGGTTGTATGTATTTTTTAATTCCACAAAATAATAAATTTTGTCCAAAAAATAAAAAAAATGGAGTAAACCACCCTTATCCCTTAGGAGTATAAAAAATAGATAACAACCTATTCACAGACCTATTGAATATACATATAAAATTTCATCAAAATCGGTCAAGCTGTTTCCGAGGAGTATGGTAACAAAAAATAAAAAAATAACCCCTATTTTTTAATAGGGGTTGTTTTTGTACTCACTTTTTTAATTTAAGGTATCCTAACAATTTTAAAAACAATTTGTTAAATTAAAATTATTGAATTACTAATATCGCTATTAAAAAATAGGGTTTGATGATAGAAGGGTAAAAACTTAGGATTGTATGTATTTTTTAATGCCACATCATAAAAAAAATTAAAAAAAAAATTGTGCAAAAAGTAAAAAAAAATTGGGTGTGATTAGTGGTTTTAATTAACTTTATACTTAAAGCTTCATCCAGAACCTCAAAATTAGTGGAATAAATTAGTGGTTTCAATTAGCGTAAAAGTTTGTTCCTCTAATTTCAATGTAAACATTTAAAACGTCAAAATTAGTGGTAGTAACAAACTTTTAACTTTTTCCACTATTATACTTTATTTTCGAGGAATGCCATTTTGGTCTTTGATTATCATCCGACAAGAGAAATAGTGGTTAGAAAAGAAAGTTGATTGTTTTATAAGCTAATTATTACGCTTTCTCTATGGATATAATAATTGAATATTGCTAGCGGTTGCTAGGATATTCTATTAATTTTAATTGTATTTTTTAGAGATTGCGAATGATCGTCAGTATAAAGTATAATTGAGATCACTAATTTAAATTAATGGTTTCAATTAGCATAAAAGTTTGTTCCTTTAAGTTCAATGTAAGCATTCAGAACGTCTAAATTAGTGGTAGTCATTTTCAATTAGTAGAAAAAGTTAACAAACTTTTAACTTTTCCACTAATTATACATCAAAATTTGCGGGGTATGCCATTTTGACCTTAGAATTTGTGGATAGAAATTAAAAGTTTATTGTTTTATAAGCTAAATATTTGGCTTTCTCTATGGATACAACTGACTACCGCAGGCTGTTGCTAGGATATTCTATTAATTTTAATTGTGTTTTTGAGACATTGCGAATGATCGTTAACCAGAAAGTATAAAGTGTAATTGAAACCACTAATTGCCAGGTTCTGAATGAAGCTTAACTGTAATTAATTAAATATTAACAGATAAAAGTAACAGTTAAAAATCGCAATACTGTCATTTGTCAATATTCTACTTGGCTATCGTACTGTGTCCATACAGCGCGTCATCCAATACCGCCTATGGCCGGCGGCGGCCGGCGCGTCGTTCGCATATCCACAGTTTATTTTTTAATTGTTAAGAAGTGCCAACGGAATTTCATTCAGAAAATATCACAGGTAGTGATTTATAGCCCATTTCTATTGAATATACAATTTGTTGGGCACTGGGTCACCCTGTATACACAGGATAAATTACAAAGTCGGCTTATATTACAGACAATGACTAAAGAATACAAGGACGCGTAACGCCCATAGAAGGGCGGGAACAGAATTTGTGCTATCTAACGTACTGATGACGCTTTAAAACAGGATCTGTTATTTTCAAAACAGGTTTGTTTTGGAACTGGCTTGGAACAGGTTTATGTGCTATCCTATACCAGTTCCAGTTCCAACTGTTCCAGCTGTTTCAAAACACTGCAACTTAAAATAAATACTTAAAGAAATAAATTTTTGGAATTGTTTAAATTATGTTATCTACTATATTTGTGATACTAGATTCTTAATAATGTATTTTTCAAAATTAGATAATTATATATTATATTACATTTGGCAACATCGCCAGTACGTTTTTTTGATGGTAAGAAATTCTCTTCGCCTATTCTGTTTATATTAAAAAAAACTATGCGTAAAAAATGTATACATACCGACAAAGGAACAGCTTGTTATGATAAAGGCGACGACCTTTTTTATAAGCATGATAATTTTCGAAATAGGTATAAGAAATTCACTTTTAATTTTTTTGTTTTGGCTAATTCGTGCTACCGAATTATTATCTAGATTTACTTGGTGGCAGTACACAACAATCATCATAATTGAGCGGGAATTGTTTTAACCGATCGCCGAAGAAGACTTAGTGCAAACAAATTAAAACAATTGCTATTTATAAACGTTACCAATTCCTTCCAAGATTCTTCGTGTTAATTTGTAATTAGACGTTATAATACTATTTTGCTTGTCGGTACTCTTTGAGCAAACCAAAATATTTTAGTCTATCTCTGTTATTTATTTAGTTGTTTAATTTAAAATAGTTAGTTGTTTAATTATAAATATTTATAGGTCTATTGAATTTTTATTATTACAAGAATAGATTTTCATTTGTGTACGATCTAGGACTTTATTTTATATATGTATTTTACTATTTTACATATATAAAATAGTAAATATTAGATATTCTTTTCTTTCTGTATTTTTAAATATTGATTTCCTATTTAAAATTTATAATAAAAATTTGGTTGAATTTTAATTAAATATATCAAATATCGGCAACGCTGCGAAAACCGTCACCCTTGTTTTTTTTTTACGTCTATGCACTATATTAGTGCACTTGCACTCAATCTCGATAATATAACGCCAAGCGACCGCGTCGCTAAAGCGATATACTACCTCGTTTCTCAACTGAAACTAGTTCTTTTTACTTAACTGTTCCAAGTCACAAATTGTTCCAAGTCCCATACAGTTCCAAGTCCCTAACTGTTCCAAGCCCTAAACTGTTCCAGGTCGCAAACTGTTTCAAGTCCCAACCTGAACAGTGGGACTTGGAACAGTTTGAGACTTGGAACAGTTTACGACCTGGAACAGTATAGGGCTTGGAACAGTTTAGCGCTTGCAACAGTTAGGGACTTGGAACTGTTTGAGACTTGCAACAGTTTGCGACCTGGAACAGTTTAGGGCTTGGAACAGTTAGGGACTTGGAACTGTTTGAAACAGTTAAGTAAAAAGAACTGGTTTGAGTTGATAATAGTCTAGCTAAAGTCTAGCGGACGAGACCGTTCAGGTGTTATCCGTTATCGGGATACAGGGGCGTAAAAAACAAGTGTGGCTGTTGCCGTTATTTAAAATATTTAATTAAAATTCAACTAAATTCTTATTATAAATTTTGAATTTATAATATTTTTTTTAAATATTTTATTTTTCTAATGTAAACAAAAACAGAATAGGTAAGGAACATTTTTTATTATAAAAAAAATGCTGGCGATGTTGCCAAATGCAATATAATTATCGCATTATAGTTTTTTTTTGAAAAATACAGTGTAAGAACAGTCGGTTATTGTTTTGTATTATAAATAAAGTAGATATTAAAAAAAAATTAAACTCTTCCAAGAATTTACTTTTTAAGTATATAACAAAATTATAAATCTATATTTATTCATTAGTGCTTATACAGAGTGGGTCTTAAATAAGTGCACATATTTTTAGGGGTTGTATATTTCGATTCTCATGAGTTTTTTTCGGGAAAACATGTTTTTGAAGTTTATATTTTTCGAAAATTTGATAGTTTTTTTTAATTTTTAGTTAAAAAAACATTATATCTTGGTAATATAGAAACATAGATAGTAGATTAAATTTAGAAAAAACAAAAAAATCTCCAGTAGTTCTCATTATTTAAGCAAAAAATATTCTTTTATATAAATTTAAAAAGAAAAATAGCAACCGAACCAGAATGATGCAAGTACGGTATTAATTTTCGTTTTGGAACAGTTTGGAACTGGAACAGGTTTCTTGGAACAGGTATCTTTTGCAACTGGAACAGCTTGTTCCTGTTATTAAAAAATCGCTGTTCCGGCCATGACTAATCTAACGCCATCATTTTGTAGCCTACGGATCAGTCACCAGCTCGTCAACAGCGACAATTTTAGCGATTTTTAATAGTTTGTTGTGTGTAGTGAACTTTGTATAAACTTTATTACAATGGTGATGTGTTCAGCTTTCAAATGTAAAAGCCACAGCGATAAGAAAGAGCCAGGAGTTAGCTAAATAAATAGTACACTCCACCTTTTTATAGTTTTGTTATTGATTTTGATAATTATTTTTATATTATATGTACTTGATGTGCTATACGTCGATACTAGTTTTTTGTACCTTTTATTAACATTTTAATACGTTTTTTTCTTAATTAATTAATATAATACCACCACATACACGATAGACGTAGTCAAAACATTTATCAAAAATATAAATCTCTTCAAGCTAAGTTAAGAAAAATATGTGGCCACGGCACTGTTTGGAGCCACGGTAACAATTTGGTCTCGGGTGTTATGTGTCCTTGTGTTCTTTAGTCATTGATTACATACCTATTTTAACCCTATCGATTACTTACTGTTTTACGTAATATGTATTACAAAGTCGACAACTGTATAGAGCTAAATATCCATGGGAAACAATCATGTGACTAGTGTAGGATGTTAAATCGTATTCATATCTCTCACAAGCATAACAATAGAACTCCTAAAAGACAATAATTCAAGCTATATTAGTCTAACATCGTCGGTGAAATGTGATAAACTGCTAACTCCATTATTCCTATTTTTTCAGGAGAGCAAAAAAACGGTACAAAATTTTTTGTACACATGTAGGAAGTATATTCATGCGTTAATATGATAAAGAGATAAGAATGAGGAAGATGCATATATTTTATTTTTCGCCAGAAACTGTTCAATTTATTAGAATAAATATGTATAAATGCAAAAAAAACTTTTTTCTTGAAAGCAGTACCACAATTTTATACAACGGGCCATTAAAATACTATGGATAACGCAAACGACGCGACGCCTCGCGAATTGAAACGATATTCTATTGGTCTGACGTCACCCGCCGTTCTCGTCGACGCGCGATGGCCAGCAGCAGCCAGACGTGTACCGTTTATGTACGTATTTAGGTGGCGTACTAAGACATTTTTGTTGCTTTTAGCGTTGATTGAAGGAGCTTTTTGTGCTTTTTTGTGCAGTTATTATTTGTATGTGTTGTGTGTTCTGAGAATTTTTTAAGTAATGGCAGATTCCGGGTTTGTAAAAGCACAAACAGATAACTTGCCAAAAGTCGATGCTTTTATGTTGGCAGCTTTTATAAATACAAATTCCCAATTTATTAGTGCTGAATTACGAGGAATAAAACAGAGAGGTATGTAACATTTATTCTTTGTAGTACTGAGGCATATTTAAGTATAAGTAGGTACCTACTGTTACGAACTTTTATATAGTTATAAATTAATGTTATAAACTTATTTTTCAGATCAGGTAGGGAGATGTATGGAGATAATGCTGTAGGTTATGTAGAAGTGAAAAGAGACAAAAATATTTGTTTAGTACGTGGAAAAATAACTCTAGAGCATAGCGTGAAAAAGAAAGTTTTTTTTATATATTGACACCCCCTTACCCTTGTTATTTTTAAAGATTGTCTTTTTACGAAATTATAGGAAATAAATTGTTTATCAGTAATGAAAATATTATACAAGGTGTCCCATAAGCAAACGCCAAAATTAAGTTACTTTTTTAAGTGAAACACCCTATATATTTTTGGATTCTTCTAGATGTTCCAGATATATTTCATGTATAATATCCTATACCTATCTTCAAATGTTTACGAAATATTGACAGTTGAAAAGCGAAAAATACCTACAATTTTCTGGACCACCTTTTTTGAGACACCCTGTATAACTAGAATTAATTTTAAAAGAGAGTATATGAAAAACCATGCAACTTTTTTATTTAATGTTTTCTTCTAAAACTTGCAGTTAAGGCTGTATGTGAGTGTCAAAATATAATGAATAACCCTGTACATTCAAATTTCATATAAGTAAGACAATATACATAAATATATTAACTTACATCAAAATGATCTTCACAACAATAAATCGTAAAAATAGAAAATAATTTAACGTTTTTCTTTTCATCTCTTCTCATGGCCTTGGACCATTTTTTTCTGTTTTCGCTCATCCATTACTATTTATAAATATCACTAATTACTAATTATGTATAATTTAACACAAATAACTAAAATTTTGACTCGGATTCAACAGCGTTTAAAAGCAAACTGTGTAAAATAAACACGCGTCTGGCTCCACTCAACCAGAAGAACGGCGGGTGACGTCACAGCGGCAAGGCGCGGTAGAGAGCGTTTGCCCGGCCATTTAAATTAACAATATTTAATTATTTTATATTAGAGGCATTTCTTAACCGATATCAACGATTTTTTTTTGTTCAATTTGTAATTATATGAACTATTTTTTAAAACCATTATTTAAAAACATGCATTTTCCTCATTGTATTTGCTGAGAAACAATAAAACTCAATATTATGTATTGTTTGTGAATTGTTCGTTGAATTTGACACTTTATGTCAGTTTAATAATATATTTTCGTACTTTTATGCATTAAAATGAAGTTTTCATATTGTCAATCACGTCCTAAAAAGTAATACTTTTGTGATGTTTGAAAAAAAAATTGAAAGTAGTAAACTTTTTAATACACAATTGCCATATCTTAGCCAATGTTTTTTTTTTAAATATTTCGAGAAAAAAAATGGTACGCCACTAACTTCATTTATCTTAAAATAAACATCGTTTTCAAAATCTTCATTCATTCCTAAACAATTTTCGTCTCTTAATAAATTAAATTTATTTTATTTTCTTAAAAATTAAAGTACTTCAGGGTCAAATCACTAAAAATCTGATGCGGTGACTATTGTGTTGAAACTTTGAATAAGAAAACTAAGGAAGGAGCATATAAAAAATCTTAGGTACACCGCGATGGGCCTCAAATATGGCCGACTTAAATTCCGGTTTATCAGTGTCGTTCTAATTTTATTTAAAAAATGTAAAACTATGATGTAGAGTAGACGTGGGGTAGACTCAATAATTTGTTGTTTTATTTTACGTTGTGAATAAATGTTGGTAGTTATTAAAACTGTTATAAAAATATATAATTCTAATAAAAATAGATAGGTTAACATCCGATACGCTACTGAAGCAGGTAAGTCAAATTAACGTATCTAAATTCTTTGACATCTAATCTTTGACAAGTAATAAATAAAAGCTAAAATGCAAGAAAAATATATAATTTAGTTAATTTAAGTGAATTTCATAAATGATCGGTTTACTACACGTATGTATATTATATAGTCACTTACTAGCGAAAAGTTGTTCCATTATTTCACTCGATTTTTGCCGAGATCTACCGCACGCTACACAACCAACTATTTTAAAGTCTTTTTCGATAAATTGCGATAGTGTCACTGTTAATTTAAGTTCTGCCACAATTTCCATCTAGATTTACTACCTTTATACAACTATCAGTAGTAGAATAAATAATAAATAACATAAAATAAGCTCCGTAAAGACTGACTAATCCACAAAATTTCAAATCAAATTCAAATGTGTCAAATGAATCGTCAAACAGAACTGTCAAAGATCCCCACCCTAGAGTACTTTTTCCGCCCACCATGCATGAATACATGCATAGCATTATGCTCCTCCTTTAGTCTTCTTATTCAAAGTGTTGAAACCGTTTCTGCTTCGACACGATGGAAATAGAAAAATACAAAAAACTTTTTTGTACTTAAAAATAATAATTTTTATGCATAGAAGACGTGCATCAAATTTCATAAAGACATCTATAATAACATCAGAGTTATTTTTTTTTTAGAAAAATTTACCACCCTGTATCTGAATAATTAAGATGTTTAAGATATGCATGCTTTATTTATGCCACACCCTAATGTGTAGAAACATTTTCATTTGTGAAAAGCATATTCAAGTAATGTTTTATTTATATTTATTTTAGGTGAACTTTATGAAAAATTCTTTAACATGGATTTCGGAAACCAAGAAGGCTATGACAAATCTGTGTATAGCATCTTTAGTTTCATAAAAAAGTAGCATAATGATGTGAAAACCGCATCTTTGTAACGAGACACCCTATAAAACACACGAAAATGGGACACCCTGTACATTATTCTTATTATTGTTACTACTCTGTTATGATTATATAGTAAATTTATTATAGACCGAGAGCTGGCTACATAAAAACCTTATCATCGTTACATGGCTAATTTTTCTTGTGAAGTCTCCTTATGTGTAGCCGTTATGGAACAGTCATGTCTGCCAGCGCGATCCCGGGGCTTAAAGCGGGGGCGGCCATTCGAAAGGGTGAAATTTTGACAGTAAAAATATTATAAGGTACACGAGTTATAATTGCCAAAGAGCTTTTATTTATTACTAGCGTGTACCAGCGACTTCGTTCGCGTCGAATTAATCATTTGTAATGGTGATGATAAGCACGAGAAAAAACAATATGGCGATATTATTATATAACTTGGTAATATTTGAGGGGTAGTTTCATCTCGTTGGAATTTCGAAAAATCCGTTTGCCAAAAATAAGCTTTTTACGTGAAGCAGTTTAAGCAGAATCGTGGTTAAGAAATTACCCAACTTTTTGGAACACCCTGTATGATTTTTTAATTTAATAAATTAAATATGTAAAAAACTCAAATAAATTATGCTTGTCCAAGCGTTTTCCCGAAAGACTAACCGTTTTTTAAAATGACAAATATTGTAATATTTGAGGGGCGTTTTCACCCTCTTGGAATTTGAGATTCGAGAAACCCCTCCTTATCGAACCTCTACCTCTACACCCCACAGTCAATCCGTTTGCCAAAAATCAGCTTTAAACGTCAAGCAGTTTAAGCAGAATCGTGATTACTCAATGGTCATATTTTATGAAACACCCTGTATAAATTTATAAAAAATCTTAAAATATGTAAAACAACAAAATAAAATATACGTGTTTAAGAGTTTTTCCGAAAAACTCACCGGTTTTAAATAAAAAATATTTTAATATTTGAGGGATAGTTTCACCCCCTTAGAATTCGAGTTTCGAAAAATCCCTTCTTATCGAACCTCTACACCCTAAAGTCAATCTGTTTTCCAAAAATCAGCTTTTTACGTCAAGCGCTTTAAGCAGGATCGTGATTAATCAATGACCAGATTTTTCGAAACACCCTGTAAACATTTTGAAAAAATCTTAAAATATGTAAAAAACAAAATAAAATATACGTGTTTAAGCGTTTTTTCGGAAACTTGACCGTATTTTAAATAAAAAATATTGTAATATTTGAGGGGTAGTTTCACCCTCTTGGAACTGGAATTTCGAAAAATCCCTTCTTATCGAAACTCTACGCCCTAGAATCAACCTGTATGCCAAAATTGAGCTTCTTACGTTGAGTGGTTTGAGCAGGATCGTGATGAATCAGTATGTTAGTCACTTAAGGATTTTATATATTAGTATAGATTAAGAAACGTGGAAAATTGTTGGCAGACATTTTTCACGTGGCTAAAATGCCGACAGACAACGCGGAAGAGGCATGAAATTTTAACAAAAAAAAATAATCGCATACATGAATGCCTATGCATTACAATACAAATAATGCATACATGAATGGTGGAATGTCATATTTATTTACTTAAAAAGCCGTATGTAAAAGGGCAGATGAAAAAAAGCGTGGCTCAATCAGCCGTAGACAGTTATCAAAAGCGCGATATTACTCTACAGGGTGAGTCTTGGATAAGTGCAAATATGTTCAGGGCTGGTATCTCGACAAAAGAAATATATTTTCTCTTTACCGTTTTTCAAATGAGTCCAAAATAACCGTTCAAGTTTGAAAATTTAAAAAGACATTTTTAGAAAGATTTATGAGTCACCTATTTAGAAACATTTATGAGTTTTTTTTCTGTATTTGCATCCATTCTTTTACCCCCGGTGTTTTCAGGTATAGATAGCGCGTTATAATCCGCCAGATATATTTTATTTGATGGATAGCAGAAAAAAGTGTATCTTCACCTATAGATACCAATATCTATTAGATAAAATAACCTTATCCGTCAGATATCCTATTTGGGACCTGAACTGCCAAATATCGCTTTATTTGTCGGATAAAAATTTGACACATGAGGAGATTTTGATTTAATTTAATAAAATTGCTTAACATAACCTAAGACATTGTTACTATTGTAGATTTCGTTTATTTCAATAAATTCGATTTTACATTATTTCGAAAAGACTTACTTATTCTGAGTATGTAGACTATAACCATTTTAGAACGTATTAGGTATAAACACTAATAAACACATTGAAATGGTGCAAAAAACTATTGTTGCTGGTGCCGGACTTTATAAGGAGTGTTAGAAAATAAAAGGAGCCTCTGTTAGAGCATCAGAACGAAGAGAATGCATTAAGTCAGGATAATAGTGATGAAATATGTAGAATTACCGAGTAAAAATATAACTCAGCGGCAATTTATACAAAATAAATTATTTTACTTAAATCCCTTCAATTAAAAACCATTACGTACTTAATAAAGCTCTAAAGTAGGTAAAAAATAAATAAAACTTTTTAAATCAAACTATTTATTTCATTTTTAATTCTCATATCTTAATTCATTAATATTACAATAGGAACCTTAGAAAACCTGTTATTAAATTCACATTTGCTTTTATTTCTTTTGTGTTACAATTTTAATTTAATTTCTTGCACTATGTACCTTTATATATTATACATCTCTTCTTCATGCTGTTTTTTAAGTAACTCTCTAGTTAAACCTTTTTAAAACACCTCCTTTGAATACCAGTTAGTTCTTTTTTACTGTTAAAAGGTTTATTAATATGAACTTTGTTTAAACAATATTTTTCCTTTATTTTTTCCTGGTTTTTTTAAAGTTCCATCACTTTGAGTTCTTAAAAATAAAAGTAATATGACAAAATTGTTTTATATTTATTTTTTTTTATTAAAAAATTTGTACATATGTGTTAATGTAACAATTATTATAGGTGCTCTTAATTTATTATTAATCAAGACAAAAGTATCTAAAATCATCTACATATATAAAATGCTAATGTTTATCTGTGTCGTCTCTACTGAAGTAACGACTTGCTCTAGAAAGTTGCTTTTTACTAAAATATAGCTAATTGGCTCTTCATAGACTTTTCATATATAACCATCTGAATTTCAGATATCTTATATTGGCAACACTTTCTCTACGTAGTGTCTAACGGTCCGTAGGCAGCCCGTCCTCCAAATTGTTATCTTTTGCATTATTTTGTGTGAAAATACCCAAATGTTATATCCTATAGATAGCAGGCTCTAGATTGTTTATTTTTTAGATAATTATTTGTTAGATAAAAGCTATTTATCTATAACTGAAAACACCGAGCCTTAGTGTCGTAACAAGGTCGTAACCATAGAGTAAAGCCGTAAGCATGTTAGATCATGATACAAAGAATACAAGGTATGATATTGCGCAGGTTGGTCACTACGTCACAGGTGATAAACGCCACCATTGGTCGGCAAGCTCTGCGCGCCAATTTCAAATTGTCAAACAGATTGTGTCATCTGTGAAATTTGATTGTGTCAAAATGTGAAAATAATTTTTCAAATGTCAAGCTCGATGTCAAAACATAACTTTTGGGGTTATGTCCTAATTCTTCCCTATTTTAGGTCTTTTTTTATGAGTGGCAATTGAACAATATGGATATTTTTTTGTATGGCGTATGACGTCACAGGTGGTATGCGCAAACTTAACGAAATTGGAGCCGCTATCGATCATACCTTGTTTTCTTTGTACCATGATGTTAGATAAAAGCTATTTATCTATAACTGAAAACACCGAGCCTTAGTGTCGTAACAAGGTCGTAACCATAGAGTAAAGCCGTAAGCATGGTAGATTAAAAAATTATACCGTGGGTAAATTTGCGGTGATCAGGCAGTTGTACAAAGTTTTCTAAAATATAAAGTAACATTTTTAAAAAATGCACGATTTTCAAGGCGGGTAGCTTTCCCTGAAAGCGCTAGAGTAATATCGCGCTTTTGATAACTGTCTGCCGCTGTTTTAGTCACGATCTTTTTGTCTGCCCTTCTGCATACGGCTTTAAAATGAATAAATATGACATTCCACAAATCGGCATGCATGTGAGCCATATTTTTTTCCAAAATTTCATGCCTGTGTTCTTTCGCGTTGTCTGCCGGCATTTTAGCGATAAGAAAAATGTCTGCCAACAATTTTTCACGTTTCTTAATAATAAATAAAAGCTATTTTCGCAATTATAACTCGTGTACCTTATAATATTTTTAGTGTCAAAATTTCACCCTTTTGATTGGCCGCTCCCGCTTTAAGCCCCGGGATCGCGCTGGCAGACATGACTATTTCATAATGGCTACACATAAGGAGACTTCACAAGAAAAATTAGCCATATAACGATGATAAGGTTTTTTATGTAGCCAGCTCTTAGACTATTAGTATTATAAAATTAGTACTTTTATAATATTTAGTCAAATTTTATTACTACTCACCTCAGGCATTCTAGAACAGCTTCTAGTAGTCACGGATTCGAAGTTACCATATTCATCGCACTTAAATGTAGGCATTTTTTTTCTCCTTTTTGGGGTCCTATAAGAAAATTAAATAGTAAATATACATAGTCGAATCATTTCAATTGTAGCTTAATTATGTATAATGTATAGGTTACAGTAAAAGTTGGAAATCAGTGATTGTTAACAATTACTAGTAAAAGCTCACATTCACTGATTTGCTAAGACTACGCCAGTAAAAGTCCAACAGCTATTTTTGAAACCAACTTTTACTAGTGAATGCTAGCATTCCCTGGACGATAGCAGAGTTTAAAAGATTCAGTTAGCGCGGTTGCCACATGTTGTAAAATATAAGGATAAATAAGGATAAGTTGAATAATAGACAATATAAGGATAACATTAAATTGGGCTAAACGTTGACAACGTTGACAGAAATCTGGGGTAAATTCGCTTTCTCTTTCGAAATTTTCTGTGAAAAATTAAGGTAAACTAGGCACTCGCAAAGATATAATTTCCTTTTGCAATATAATGACGTCATAGCAAAAGTTAAGCGTGCGAGAGAAAAATATATTAAGGAACCTAGTGACTAGTAAAGTAAAGATTTCAGTTAACGTCTCCTTTTTGCTGCCAGAGCTAATCTGGACGGGACCTACTTTGTTTACGCGGAATCCGAAGCGCGGTTCTCGGCCATATCATGGTCAATGGACTACCGACTTGGCAAGTGTCTAAATCAACTCTTACTCACGAGATATCCGATCTCATCCGGCCTCGAACCGGCGCACACTGGTCGAAATCGCTACTTTAAAGTGCAAATATTAGGAAACCCTAAAGATGCGTAGTTGGCTGTGACCTATGAAATGCGAAAAAGGAAGGTCTAAAGATGGCGCAGGTGACATATTTTTTTGCGAAATAGCTGTCTTTGTTGTATTTTATTAATTAGATAACAGGTAGTAATTGTATGAAGTCATACACGAAAAATTGAAATAATATTTAATCATTAATATTGACTGCAATCTAGTATTGTCTGCAAACGTGAATCAACGTGTTTGTGATTTATGTTGTTTTGCTGGGAATTTGTAATAGTTAGGACCAAATTTTGGTGAGCAAATAATTTTTTGTCTATTATTTTTTCAACAAAACTAAACTGGTGATTAAAACAAAAATTATATTTCTTTTTCTTCAGGTTTCGCAAAGGTAAACCATACCTTGTCCGGTCGTGTTCGATACAATTTTTTTTTCAAGATTTAGAAGGCTTTTGGTAAGACATTTTCTTATATAATTAACTGCTACTAGGTGCACGGTTCGGAGTAACACACATTTATCTAATAGATATGTCGTTGACAAGAAGGGAGCTTTATGAAGTTTGGCGACGGAAAAGTGGTCTTTAATAAAAAAATTCGGCGGTCCTTTCATATGCTATTCGCCGACTTGGTATACCCGAAGACAAAGAGACAACAACCAAACCAAAAGTATCTTGTAGTGAAGCGCACAGGAAATAGTTTCACTAGGAAACTGCAATAAAAGTGGGAAAGAGTATTATAGAATTCTAAGTCGATTCGAAACAAATAATTCAGATTGGTTAAATGACAACATAGTTTTTGATCCAGATGAACAAACCAAATTTTGTTAATCTAGTATTCTCTTTCTGTTATCTCTAGGTTTTTTCAATAATTATATTTGCAAGAGAAAAACTTATTAATTTTTAACCCTTGTGTCTCACTTCCCTGGAAGCGTGGGGGTATATGTTATCGTTAAAATTTGAATTGGGAATGGGGACAAGAAGCACATCATTTTAAAAATCTGATCGAGTACTTTAGCTTTCCAGATTATGTTCCTAGTAGCCTGTCATGTCATTTTTTTTACAGTATGTCACCATTTTTTTGACGATAATAGGAAGTACGATTTTAGAATTGTAAAGTACTCGATGAGACCTTCAAAATGATGTGCATCTTGCACCTCTTTTTATTTAATATTCTCAGGGTAACATTCACCCCTCTTAAGGGGTTGAAACATGAAGGCTAACATTTTTATTTGTATTTTTAGATTTATCTTGTCATTTTATGGTATATTCAATATAAACTAGGTTAAAATTTTCGTCTTACTGATATCGAACATTTTTTGCATCGTAGTAGCGATTGCGACCAGTGTGCGGCGTGAATGAGCAGTGTGTGTCAATAGATTTTACACTTTTGCCTTTATTGGACAACTGCACGATACAGAGTTTCGAACCGGTCACCCCTCCATCCACTAGTATCGCCTTACATCACTTAACTTCGGTGTTCAAATGGGAACCGGTGTTTCGACGTAGCTGGGCCGTTGCCACCTAGTGACTAGTGACTATGAACTAATTAAACTAGTGACTAGTGACTATGAACTAAATTAACTTATTAAACCTTTTGATATGCTTGAAGTAGCGGATTTGAAAAAAAAATAACTCCCGTTGAAGAAAATTCGGGCATAGGTACTTTATTTTGTCAACAATGAAGACCTTTATTAAAATAATTTTGTACCAATAAGTAATCTTATGGTACGTATACATTGGCGCGCTGCGCCGCGAACGCGCGGCACGCTCGCACCGATTCGCCTCTATTGGTACGTGTTTTCAAGTTGCGCGCGCTCTGCACGCAAACAGCTAGCCGCGAACCATCTCCAGTCGGTTTTTCGACACTCCGTTTTGTTTGTTCGTTGTTCAATGGGCTCTTTCACAAAAAATTATATACCCAATTCAAGGATAAAATCTGAAATAAAAGACTATTTTCAGTATATTTATCCAAAAAAAATAGTTCCATGACATTGAATAACTTTTTTATAGGCCCTCAAAATTGCTTTAATTTGAAATAATTTTAAAGCGCCAATTGATGACGTATGAAAAATACGCCCAATCACATTGCAGAACCGTGCTCGTTCGCCAGCCAACAACTGGCAACATTGCGATTTGATTTGACCAGCACCACCTCAACTCAAGGCCAATCAATATGACATGGGCAAGGCAAATATGGCGACGAAGGCAGCGCATTATTAAATTGTTTACCTTTAACCTGAAAAGTCGGTAGTGGTTTCTCGTTCCGATTGCATACCAGAAATAACTAATTATCTCTAGTTTGTTGTGCTTCTGCAACACGTTTGTTTAGTTCTTAGTGTTCAGTGCATGGTGTGATCAGAAAATTGTGATAAAATAACAGTGTAACAAAAATCCTAACCAGACATTCCACATAGGGAACTTCAAACTTTTGTGCTTGTCGTACTCCTCTAATATTAATTATTTTAAGGTAAGAACTAGAAGTATTTATCAAGATATTACACCTAAATGAGTAAAAAGCCTTCACCGCCAGTCTGCATAGTACTTTATAATGGTTACTTACAATAATCAAAAGATAGGTATTAAAGGGTAGGTATTAACATTTTATTGTAGCATACCTTTTACATGCTCTGTTCCAAATTGTCACGGGAATTATAGAGGGGGTCCCAAGGTGTCTGCTTTTATATTCCCCAAAAATGACGAGCTTCGTCAAAAATGGTTGACGGCTATTGAAAGAGATAATTTCACTTCTACTAGTAGTTCTCGGGTAAGAAGTGCAATAAATATGCCTCAAAAGGCCAAAGGCCCCAAAACATCTGTTACCCTAGTGAGGATGTAGTTATGGCTACTGCTTACACTTATCTTACTATAAGTAAAATATTGGGAGAATAGTCAAGCTTTTTACATCAAAAAGATCACAGAAAGATATTGACAACATTCACATTTGAAAATATAAATGGCCTGGATGTAAGTCTTTTTTAGGTCACAATTGCCCCCACATACGTCAGAATTTTATTATTAAATCCATCTTGTTCAGAATATCCAATATTTTATTGAAGAACTATGCAAAAAAAAGAAATGACGTTATAAAAAGGTATTTAGTTTTTTTTCTATATAAAATCTTGAAACACATATTATATTTTTTAGTTATCCTCACCTATTATAGTTTAAATTTATTCCCATTTGTGTAATGCTGCAAAACATAGGAAAATATTCCATATTTTTTGACCCAAGCCAGTGTAGTTTATAATTCCAAGAGCATTTACCAAGGCTTTTACTAACACAAGTAACTTCCTATACTGTCCATAATAGTATATATTTATCAAACGTGTAGTAAATTCTAAACTATGGTAGGTAAGTGTCTGCAATTGAATATTTAGTTTATATTGCTATTTTCTGTTATATATTTCTGGTTATTTCTTTTTCCGATGATTTTGAACACCCTATATATGCTACCTCAAGTTTGAATATTTACACACACTACACTACCTAGCTATTTTCTGAGAAAGCAGACCTTTTTATAAAAAGTAACTAACTGATGTTTTCATAAAAGTAATAATACAAAAAATTCCATACTTATGTAGAGAGCTTAGAGTCCCTGTATATTAAAAAATTAGTGAAATATTACGTAATCTAACCCGACATTTGTGTGAAAAATGTCTATTTGGAAATAAAACAGGTTTTAAAATACGCGCCAAATAAAGCACTTCTAACTCCGCCATATTGGAAAAGGTTGAATGGCCTTGTGCGGAGGTGGTGGTGGGTCAGCATGGTGGCCCGGCCGTGTTGCCGCTTTTCAACATGCCAGGTGTGACGTATTAAAAATAAAGTGCGGATTTTTATTCTGGGCTTTTGTTTTTATTTATTTTCTTAAGAACGACTTCAAATTTTTCGAGAGTGAGATAGCAGAAAATTCTAGAATTAATTGCTTTATTCAATTATGCTAATTCCAAAATATAGTGAAAGACCCCATTGGGACGGCCGGTGCAGACACCGCGCGCATTCCGCGCGCATTTATCAGTGACTATGTGTGTTTTCTTTGAATAAATTAACTTTTTTGTGTTTTTCTTTGAATATTGTTTATTAATGGAGTGTTTAAAGAGTCGCACTACTCACGATTAAAATTGCGTAGTTCTTCTCGGACAATAGAGACATGATTAACGACTGAACTAATGTTCGCGGGATTTCTATGGATTGCGGGATGTTCGTTAAAACAATAAAAATAACGCGCGGCCAACGCTCGGATCGCGCGCTGCGCGTTCGTGGCGCAGCGCACCAAT